CCAACAACAACAACAACAACAGCAGTTATGTACCTATTCCCAAGTCAAATCACTGCAAGTATGTACCAGCAGCAAGAAAAGGTGCAGCAAGTCTGTGCAGTACACCACAGTGGGTTGCTGTCGCGTAGTCGTATTTGCGTGTCAGAGAATGATGGGCGACCCAGGACTACTGCGTTCCGGGAGGCCTTGCGCTCTACGACCGCGCGACCGCTGCCGCCTTGATGGAGTTCCGAGGCAGCCCAGAAGCCCGGCGCTTTCCCGTGGTCGCAGGGGCCTGCGTGGCAGACTGGGTGAAGCTCTTCGGATGTCGTTTCGTATGATTTTTCGATCATCCTGAGACGGGGCGAAGGTTCTTTACAAACTAGTTGGAAATGCCCGAGACGTGGACTCCATGCCGATTAGTCTCGACAACGCTTCAGGCAAAGCACGCCCCCGTTTTCTCATGTCGGCACTTATATATATCACGCAAGGACCCATGGACCAGCACGAGCAGCCATTTGTAAGGCTGACGATGCGCTGCATCAGGCAGGGTAGTTTGCCAGCTTTTACCAGTTTTGAACACAGTTTCAGAGGAGTGTCTGTGGTTGTCACACTTGTTGCTGGCAACTCCAACCATCTAAAGCCCTCAACCTTTTCCTAAAGCTTAGGACTCCATAAACCCGAATGCCGATTCAAGACACATCAGCGCGCTTCAATCTTAAACGAATTCTAATCTTTTAGTTGTGATTTGACTCAGTCGGGCGATAACAGGACAGACCCTAAATTGATGCCAGACAGAGACCTCCCGAAGCATCCGATTTCTGCGATTCACCCTCCATATAACGCCTTGGAGCGTCAGGCGGCGAAGGAAGCAGAATTCCAGTGTCAGCGGCAAGCTCTTTCGGAGCTGCTTGGCATAACATGCACTATATGCCTACACACCTTTTTATGCCAAGAACAGAACGCAAAGACATTGCAGTAATGGATGCGAGGCAGACCGGACTCTGGTTGTCATGGAAAGACTTAGGCATACGCAATGCACTGCTGCGCCCATGCTTTGGGTTTGGAAGCGGTTATCATACATATATATATATAGGGCTTGGTAAGCATCGGCTGTCGGTGTGTTGCTTCGGCAACTTGGCACAGCAGGTTGGAGCACGCTGCTTCTATGGAGGCGTTGCAGAAGCAGAAGATCCTCAACGCGAAAAGGATGGAAGTCGCAAAGGCCGCTCACGAGGCCGAAGTGAATAGATTGCGTGGTGAGTCGGAGGCCCTTCGAAGGGAGCACGAGCACCTGGCTGAGAAACGGCGTCAGGAGTTGCTGCTCATGATTCAACAAGGTCGGAAAGCTGAGGCAGAGTCCTTTCAGCAAACCATGGCCTTTGCCCAAGAGGCACAAGCAACCCAGCTCAGGGGCATACAAGAGGCCATGAGGCAAAGCCAACTTCATCAGCAAGGTTTGCAAAGGAATTTGTCGGAAAGCCTTCGTGCAATCGCAGCCCACCAGGAACATGTTGATGCAGCTGCCCGCCGTGCAGCGGAAATGGCAAATCAAGAGGCCTCCAGTCCTGCGAGACTTCTGTTGCCCATTGCGAACTTTGCCATGAGCTTCTTCCCATCAGCTGCGCCAATGATTGGGGCGGCTGCATCTGCACTGACAGGCACTTTGGCACCGAGGCATTAGAGAACATCGGCTGTAAGAGCCGACGAGTACATGTGCAGGGGACATCGGCCTTGAGTAGGATGGACACCATCATATACATAGTTGAATTCGGGGGTGATTCCCGCAAGTTGCTTCTCATTCAACAAACCTGGTCTAGAGCATTCTAGCGCCACAAGTGCTTTCGGAAAGCGCCTGTCACAAAAGTCGACTGCACACCTTGAGGATGTGGTCTGCGCACGATGCCAGGATGCTCGTAGATGATTCTGAGAGTATGCGCAGATAACAATCAGCCTCCAGAACTCCGAGTGCAATGCTGTCAATATGTAGGACGATAAGCTAGCATGTATGTTTGTTCTGTGTCCTTCCTGCTCGCATGTTTGGTTGCGGGCGGTTATTCTAAACTGCTTTCCTGCTTGAAAAATCAGACGGTTTCAACACTTAGCTTAGCTGGCACTTGTTTCCCCCGCAGGGAATCCTAATTCAGCGCAACCCACCATATGATTCAAGTTTGAATGTCCGGTCCGAGCTGTCGAAAGTCATTTTAAAGCACAAAGTGCACATGTTGCTGCGGCACTTTCGGTGCTCAAGCCAGCGGCCCGATGTGAGATGACGAAAGGCGGCATTGGCGGCCCAGTTTGCGTGACATGTAATGGCACCCAAGAGCTCCAGGTCTTCGAGACGCATGCAGGAGTGTTGTTCGAAACCGGGGGCCGGGGGCTGTATTTGTCTTGTTAGTGCAGAGCATGTCTTCAGACCCCATCAGACCCCCGGATCCCCCAAAAGCGCAATGCCTGCAACTGCGGAGGAGCTTTTCATTCTGCCTGCAGCCACGCCGTGTGTGATCCGTGCCTTCGGCAGCTGGTGCTGAGCCAGCTTCCGAAGAGCCGCGAGCAGTGGCAGCTCGAGATCCTTTGCCCCGAGCCTTTGTGCCAGAAGCGAGTCCCTCAGCGCTTGGTCGCCAAAGTCAAAGAGGCCGATGACCTTGCGAAGGCCATCGACACGGACGGCCTTTGGCCAAGCCTCGGAGACGAGGTTTCGCAGCGCTGCCCCCTCTGTGGGAAGGAGGCGGCGGTGCATGTAAACCGGGCTTGTGGCCATGCAGCCTGCGAGAGCTGCTGGCTCGACGGCCTCGAGGAGAAGCTCCGCTGGTGCCGCGAGAATGCCGCCATGGACATCCCGTGTCCGCACCCGGGCTGCCATGAGGGCTGCTACGATGTGCTGCGCCACTTCGAGAGCCCGTTCCTGGAGGAGCTCGAGCTCTATGTCCGGGAGGCCAAAGTGCAGCTCGTCGAGTTCTCGTCGTGGGCCGTGCACGGCCCTCCCGGGGCTCCGGGACCCGTCTGTGCCCTGGCTTCGTTTATGTTTTCCGCTTCGGGTTCTAAACACACGAAGCTGCGGCCGAAGACCTGCTGCAAATGACCTACATTCAGTAGTCATTCTGCATCACTAGTTTTGCCTGTTGTCTTTTCTTTGGGAGAGGTCCGGTGTGCGAGCGCCAGTCCATGGCAGTGCTGCATTGCCTTTGCGGCCTGGCAGCTTGCTCGTCTTGCTGGAAAGGCTTTGTGCAGGAGCAGCTGGTTCCCTGGATGCAGTCGAGATTTCTTCTGAGACTCTGAGATGTAGTGGTTGAGATCGAGCCAGAGAGAGCGGGCGAGAGAGAGAGAGCGAGAGAGCGAGAGAGAGAGAGAGAGAGAGAGAGAGAGAGAGAGAGAGAGACAGAGAGAGAAAGAGCGGTGGAGGAAAAGAGGAAGACCGAAAGTTTGTCAACTACTTCTTTCGAGAGCGACCAAGCCCCAAGATGTAAACTTCGGCCTACAATCCTGGTTCCAAAAGCCTGAGTTCCAGCGTCCCTTAAAAACCGGAGAAGCCAGCGCACTAACCGCGAAAACAACTGGAAATACATCCGTTGAGCAAGTGAACCTCATACACCAAATTGAGCCCTCAACATCTTTGAATTGGATTCCCCCGCACCTTGTGTTCGCAAACCCCAGGTTATACTTGCGGTAATCGCTTTGTCCCTCCCCCCCAATTCTGAAACCTAACCGCCAAATTCCAGAACTTGTAAACCACAAACTCGGCAGCCTATATACACCGCTAAATTGCACAAAGCCTTTGAGGCCCTTCGGCGAAAGCCTTTGAGGCCCTTCGGCGGTTCGGTTCACAAGCTCGAAAAAAGACCCAGAAAAGACAAGACATCCACAGACACCCACTTTAAGAGCACCACGACGCGCATTTCATCTGAGGCCCGGTGCAAAGAAGACTTTAAGCTGAGCCCGCTCGGCTGGTACCCTTGGCGTGCCGGATGCAGCTGCCAAGAGAGCCCTGGGCCTGGGATCAGCTGAACCTTTCAGGTAGCCTTCACAGAGTTTTTGCGGTCCTTTTAGTGTACGGTTGGACTTTTTTTCCACTGTGCTAGCGGGTATTTTTGTCCGGGTCGGGACGGGTAGGTTAGTTATGGGTGTGTCTGCAGGCCTTTGGGGATGCTCACAGGATTTCTGGGCCATTTTTCGACATGCGGACGCTCTGAGTCCAGGTTGATTCCTGCAAGGTTTGGTGACTCCTTCAACCCCCGCAGTTTATGGACGTCATGTGCGGTTGTTGCGCTAAGCATCTTTGGATAGGATCATGTTCTTGTACTACATCATATGCAGCCTTCCGTTTTTGCTGTTGTTCCCACTAGAATACAAGAAGCCAGAAGCCGATCGCATATGCCACATGTTCTATTCAGTTTAAACTTTAAACCTGCACGTCCTTTCACCCTCACCGAGCCCGAGCCCCGCCCAACACATCCTACAAGTAGCGTCGGCATCGGGGTTAACGTCTTCAAAGCGCGCACGACATGTTTTGGCACATTCGGAGTGTACCCTGTACAATAAACCCCCACATGCTGAGCCCGTGAACCCTGAAACTAAAATCCTACACTTTCAGGTTTGGAGTTTACGAGGGTCGGGCTCAGCAAACTCGATGTTTTGGGTATCGGGCTATTGTGCATTTCTCTTCAGAGCACGATGATGGAAGGGGTGGCTCAGAGATTGAGTTCCGTACGACCTCGCAGAAGCGAAAGGAAAGCCGTAAGCCCCGAAAACGATCCTCAATAAGACACGAGAAACACCGCTTTTTTAACCAGCAAAGTCAGTTCCCCAACAAGAACTCTGCTTTTCGTTGCTTCCTCCGACTCGGAAGCTTACGCGGAAGGACTTCGGCCACTGTGGGGTAGGTTTCTCCGGCAATGGGAAGCCCGGAACTGTAGACCCTAAACCCTCCATGGCCGTCTGAGCCTCAAGCCCATGCTTTACCGACAAAGCCTGAACTTATAGACTCCAACTAAGCGGCCTTCCCACTCTAAACCACGAGCCTTAAGATTTGAAGACCCGGAAACTGCAGCTAAGGAACCTTCTTGCGGTGCTGCCTCCTTCTCTCACGAAGGGCTTTCAGGAGCAGCGGGCCTTGGTCAAGACGCAGCAGCAAGAGCTGAAGTACACGGGCCGCACGGTTCTCTACCTTTGGGTTCAGGGTTCCGCCGTGTCGGTGCAGTGTAAGATTAATTCGGAATAAGTGAGATAAGTGCGAGTACCATTCCCTAAGGTTCCTTGCCATAATGTGCCAAAATTTATCTCAAAAAACCTTGGGCCCCTTTATGCGCGCGCCTTCTGGGTTTAAGGTTTCGGACTTGGAGGGTGTCCGCTGTTGGCAACACCCCAGGTTGCTGTCCTTCTTTTGGGGATGGGTAGACTCTGCGTGACGTGCTTGAGGGCTTTTTGGGCATTTTCAGGTTTACAGATTACCGCTATACAAGACAAGGGACGCTCCTTGAGAAACCTTGCATAGATATATGCTAGAGCCTCAAAGGCACCTAGATAAAGCCCTTACCTCACAACCCTCTAGACCCTAAGTTCCAAAATCCTAAGACCCTGAACCCCGAGAAGTTGAACCCTAAACCGTTGCCTAAACCCTAAACCGTAAACCCCAAAACCGTTGCCTAAACCCATGACCGAGGGGCCCCCACAAGCACACGACCTCCGAGAGCAGGATCTTCAGCTCCGTCCCCTCAAAGCCCGAACGATCGGAACCTCAACAGTTGACACTCCTTTTAGGCTTTAGAGCTTATAGGGCTTAGGGTTTATAGGGTTTAGGGGGCACACTGGCCACTCGACTTTGAGGCACATCTAGCCTCATGTGAAAGACAATAGGAAGTCAAGCCGCAAGATCCCGAAACCCTACACAGACTCTAAACCCATGGTGCCCTTTGCCCTATCCTGTTTGCAGCGTGTCCCTGTCCTGGTTGCAGCATGTCGTTTCTTGGTGCTGTTTGTCCCTATCCTGTTTGCAGCGTGTCGTTTTCTAGTGCTCTCTGCCCCTATATGTTTGGCAACGTGTCGTGCCTTAGTGCTTTCCACACCTAAAGTCAGACACCCGTTTAGAAGAAAAGAAAGAACGAAAGCCGCACAACCTCCGAGGCGCCTTTTTCCTTACGCCGTACCACGGAACCTGCGGGCCGGGCCGCCCCCCGCCTGCGTCGTCTGTGGAGAGGTGCCCTGCGTTTTTGGGGCTTTCGGGGTTCAAGGCTTGTGGGGTTAAGTTTGGGGCTTAGGGCTATAATTACAGGATTTAGAGTTCAGACCCCCCGGCTCGGGGGTACTGTATAGCTAGGTTTTTCTAGTTTTTTGGAGGCCCAGAGTTGGTCTCGGGTATTGGAGCTTTGTGGTGGTGTTGGTTCGTGGGCTGTGCGGGTGGACCTAGGCTTATGTAGGCTGCGTACACCTTGATTAATCCAGTTACTGGGCTTCCCGTTTGAAGTGGAGTGCTGGCTGAACGCGGGTTATTTCGAGACTGGGGAAGTTTCGGTGGCTGGGGTGAAAGTGCAATAAGGAGGTCTAGCAACTGAGCACCAGATTCGGGGAGAAAATACTTCCGGACATGACAATCTGCTGGTTTTACTACCGGGCATGACAACCTTCTGGTTTTACAAATGTGACTTAGGGGTTGTATGCCCGATGACTCAGGTGTCAAACGCCTTCTATTCAAAACCAGGTTTTGGAGCTAAAAACGCGCTGACAGACCCGATCGTGTCGGGCCTGTTGGTTTTACTTCAACCCTCCCCCCTATCTCCTCTCACCTCCCCGAACACTTAACACACAGGATTGCTCAAGCTTAGAGAATCGTGGCCCCGTAAACACATGTGTAAATGGGCATTTCAGAAGCTCAACGGGCCCTTGTTTTGAGGTCCTGATTATGCAAGGACCCCATAAGTCAGGTCTGTGTTTTCTGAAATTGCCACGTTTGTGCCACGGAAAGCCTAGAGTTGAAGCTCGTGTAATCCTTGGATGATATCCACCCCATCAGCAGAAAGCTTTAAATGGGCCTTTTAATTCTTGCGGCCCTAAGCCCGAGCCTTTAAACCCTCAACCCCGCAATTTGGCCCGCAGAACGCGATGGTTCTGCTGCGCCCGCCGTGCTGCCCCAAGGATCATGCTGCCTGCCAAACTTGTTGGGCGCGCTGGGGCGAGGAGCGAGGTCTGGGAGATGCTTCTTTGGTCTTCTTTTGGGCCTTGGGGACTGGGTGGGGCCAAGAAAGGGGCCCTTGATGCTTAAGAAGAGGGCTTTTGGGGTTTAAGGAATTTTGAGGAATCCCATTGCAGAAGAGGTATCTGTGATGTTAGGGCTTTGCGGTTTTGGGAGATTTGGAGTTCGGGCGTTGGGAGAGTTGCACTGACTTCTGGAAAAAAAGACGTCAGAAAGAGCCAGAACCCCTTCAGCCCCAAAGCTTCAGCCCCAAAGAGGGTTTACGGTTTAGGGCCGCTTTGGGTTTAGAAGCTAAAGCCATAAATCCGTAAATCCCTGAAATCCGAAGCACCCAGCCCCCTAGCACTGCACCTTAATTGCTCAACCTCAAACCCAAGCGCCGTCAAAGGCCCCCGAACGGCACACAAAAAGCCGAAGCGTAGTTGCTGTCTTGTTTTTGGCACCACTCTTCCGGACCCTTGACACTGCACCCTGGAATCCCGAAGCTATGTAAAACTCGCGTGGTGCCCCTATGATGGCCTGGTAATACCCATCGATCTGAAACCAGTTTTTTCACACTTTGTAGCATTTTCCGCAGTACTAGTAATGATATCAACCACGCGACTTCAAATTGAGAAGAAGAAGACTATGAAGAAGCAGAGGAGCCATAGTAGCAACCCGTAGGAGCCCTAAACCCCCCCAAACCCCGAACCTTTTGAAGCTTTTCCTCAGGAGCAGGTTGAGGCCGGCCGATACGGCCGACACTATCCGGCACGCTGCCTTTGGCCTGGCTGCACTTTTGCTCTGATAACGAGCTTCGTAGGTTTTGGGGTTTATCGGGTTTAGGGTTTATTTCAAGTTAGAAGGATTATGGTTGTGTATAGGGTTTCAGGTTATAGGGCTTATCGGGCTTTAGATTATACAGGGTTTAGGGTTTGGGGTGCCTAGAAGGATGCCAAACCGATTTGATAAAAGGCTGTGTAAGCTTTTGGCAGGTGTGTTCTAGTAAAGCTCTGTCAGGTTCTTCGAAGAAGGGCACACGAGTTTTCATATACCACGTGCTTTTCCAGGCCTTTAGGGTTTAGGGGTTCAGGATGTCTGGGTGTGTAACCGTACTCCCCCGGCCGTAGGCTTTGGCATGTTAGTTTGATGTGTTGAGAGGTACAAACGACGGGCGGTTTCGCTCCTTGGGAACGACATTCGCGAATTCGCATGATGTCGTGGCTTTGGAGAAATCAGCTGTCTTGAATCCAGAGTCTCACATCGCTAGTTTTTTGACTTAACCAACGAATCAGTCAATCCATGCCGAGTGCTCGTTCCAAAACCCCCTCAACATGCAAGCATCCTTAAGCGACTCTAAGACACCTTCGTTAACCCGAAAGCCCCCACCTTGATTCCCAAAACCTTTTGAGTCAAGCAGTGCCCCTGCGCTCTGACTCCAATGCTAGACCATCAGTCAAAAGCTGTAACCCTGAGCCATCGACCCCAAATCCTGACGCCCTCCACTTGAAACCATGCCGTTACCCTATGACATAAACTATAACCCTATGAACCATCAGCCTCAACTTCAGTTCCTGCAGTCATCGATCTAAAGCGGAAGCCCCAGGCGAGAGCAATCTCCACGAGGAAGACTGGCTGTGCCCCGGCTACAGCTTTACAGGTCTGTCCAGTGAAAGAGCCCAGGGTTTGCAAGGCACGTACCTCATAATATTCGGAGTGTTTGGATTCTACGAGCCCTTCTCAATAAGCGTGCGTAATTAAGCCCGGCGCTCTAAACTCCAAGCTTTCGAGGTGGCGTCTGCTGAAGTTCTCCCCGCGACTCTCCCAGCTGGTGGCGCAGCTCGATCGCCGTGTTCGTCTGCAGCAGAACCGCCTCTATCCCCCTGCGGTGCAGGCCGCTATGTTCTCCAAGAGTTTCAGGCGTTTGCGGCTTGGTTGTACGACGGCTCAGGCATTGGGTTTCAGCATCCAGGCCTCAGTATGCCCAGGGTAGGTTAAGGCCCACCCCTGCCTCACATCAGCCCCCGACTTCTGCAGGTTTCCGGTTGATGAGCTTACGTAGGCTTGCATGTTTCGCGTGCTGCGTGCACATGAGACAAGAAATAATCAAACAAACGCAGACAGACAGCGAAGGTCGCTGGTACGTGAATTCGGACCTTGGCAAGTCAGGATTGAATTCGGCCCGGCTTTCCCTACTTCAACTAGAACCCGAAAAGCCCTCAAAACACCCCGAAACACCCTAAGCACCCCGAAACCCCTAGACCCTGCTAGGAGTAAGTAAAGCCCCCGCCCCTCTTTTAAAATGAACCTTGGAGGTCGACTGCCCTCAGCCCGGCTGCGTGGGCTTGGGCTACCTGGGCTTCGACACGGTGATGTGCTTCATCTGCGAGCACCAGTGGGATGCGACCGAGGGAATCCTCGGGGAGGAGACGGAGCTGCCCGAGGGAGAGGAGGCGGGGCGGCCGCATTTGTTCAGGATCTGCCCATAATTTTGCCTCCATTGTAGCTCCTGTTTGTGGGTTATCCTTGGTTTCTTTTTGCTTCAGAGAATCAGATCAGCCCTTGGTCGCAGGTCACGGAGGCTGCTGTCGCCGGAGTTAAGGTCAAGCGATGCCCGAAGTGCCACGAGTACATCGAGAAGAACGGTGGCGGCGACCTTGGTTGTCTTTCAGGGTTTGGGGAATGTAAGGGTTGAAAGTGGGCGGGATATGGAGTCAGATACACGGTTCCGTATGGTGCCCCAAGTATCGATCCTAGCTTCGAAGAGGAGCGTTCTTAGTCAGGCTGCGACCACATGACCTGCCGCTGTCGCCATGAGTTCTCCTGGCAGACCCGGAAACCCTGGCGGCCTGGTGGCTGACTCGGTTTTGCCCCGGGGCGTAGCTGCAGGGTTCGTTTTATAGATTGTTTGCTCCTTAAGATGCCCTCAAGCCTGCAATTGCGAGATCCTGCAAGCTATGCCTGGCGACCCTCGCATTTTGCTGGGGGAAAGCACCGAAGTACCCGTCTCGACTTGTACAGAGCTCATGGTCAGGGCTTTTCAGTAGCTAATCGTGGAGAGTTTCGCAGCAACTGGGGTCACGATTCCAACATGCTTTGCTGGGGGCCGAACAGCGCACGGTCTCAGCATTGACTCTCAAGCGCCCTAGAAGTCTACAATCCCCCAGACAAATACAAGCCCCAAATGTATTTGGGATCCCGTTTTGCAAAGTGAGACTCCCCACCACCGGTCCATAGGGCAGTTGCTCTCCGGGGCCTGTACAGACACACCGCGGATTGAACAAACAGATTCTCGGGTTTGGAAGCTCAGGCACAAGAAGAGGCTTATGGTTTCAGATTTGAGTATACCTCTAAACACCTGCTGAATTCTCTTCTCCGGCAAATCCCACGCCCCAAATCCACCGACGGCTTGGACCCGGCCGTTAGTAGAGGTTGGCGGCTCTGACCCGGGGTTTGGGGCTTGACATGGCTTGTTGCTTTCTGTCACAGCTTAAAGATGTTTGAAGACTCAATATCTCAAAGCCATGATAAATATATATATACAGGTGTATATGCATGTGTATGTGTGTATGTATATGTATCTGTATGTATATATATATATATAAATAATATGTATATAATATGTGTATGCACACATGCAACGAAGGCATAATATGTATTCACAATGTCTGTATGCATGTATGTGTGTATGTATGTACGTACAGATAGACAGATAGGTTAGATAGATAGATAGATAGGTAGGTAGGTAGGTAGGTAGATAGATAGATAGACAGACACAGATAGACATAGATAGATATAGGTAGATATAGATAGATATAGATAGATGTAGATAGATATAGATAGGTATATAGGTAGATAGATAGATGGAACAGATAGATAGATGGAACAAACAGATAGATAGGTAGACAGATAGATATGTTATATATATATGTTTTTAGTATGCAGTACCGAATACATACATACTCACTATGCAATATCAGCGATTGAAAGGCCGCCCATGAAGCACACCCTGAGCTGTTCTGTGTAGGCTTTCGGGTTACGGGGCTTGTGGGGATCTGGGCCTTGGAAGGGCTCAGCCCCGTACATCGCCAGCAACCCAAAGCCCCGAAGCCCAGTCAAGCCCCACAAGCCCCAAACCCCCGAGGGCGTCCCTCAAGATGACCTCCTTTGCGAGCGGCCGGGGGTCCACTGACGTGCAGCCGTTTGTGCAAAATTTGAGCTTTTTTTCTCAAGAAGCGGAGTTTCGCTTTAGCCTACGGTAGGGTTCTCAGGCTCCGATGCCCTCAGCCTCAATCTGTCACACGCCCATGTCCGTAAACCTTTTGTCGCAGAGAATCCTCTCCAAGCCCCTGACCAAACGAAACCCGCAAGTTCTGCACTGGACGTCCCCTCTGATCCTCCTCCCATGGCCGGCAGCTGCAGCAACCAAGAGGCTCTCGCAGAGGCCATATCCGTAGGTCCGTGCAGCTCTAGGAAATGGGCCTTCATGCAGGTACCGGATAAAGGTGTTAACTGTTAACCCTCACGGTCCTGCTAGGATGGGTCCACATTTGGGTGGCTAAAAAATCTCCTCCCAGAACTGTGATTCGCAGTGAAGCCCTGCACCAGCAAGACAGCGACACAAGCCCCGTTCGTACTCGAAAGTGACAGTCGTGAGCAGATCATGGACAAAGACGACGAGCCATGTTATCGCAATGGTACGAACACCACTTAACAAAAAGCCCCATAAAGGACCGCCAGGATGCTGATGTGTCGAACGAGGACACCTTGAAGGATGGCCAGGCTCGCTCGGGGCATGGGCGGCATGGGTTGGCGCAGGGCCCTCCCTTGCGGAAAAGCAAAGTGATCCGACAACCACCTCCATGTTGCTCCAGATAGGTAAGTAGCTTGTGCAACCTCCTGACAGCCCAAAGCTCCGCGCAAGCCTTGAGCCCACTATTTTACCTATTTTGGGGCGTTTCGGTAAAATTCAGCATTGAGGGTTTAGGGTTTCGCAATGTTTTGTGGGTTTCGGGTTCGGTGATTAGGGGTCGATGGTGTAGGGTCTTTGCAAGATTTTGTGGCCTCCAATTCTGGTGTGTCGCATTTCGTAGGTTATCAAAGCCTGCTGATGCCATAGTGGAAACATGATTCCTGGCATTGCCTGGGTAGCATCGAGGGTCGAATTCAACTTAATGTGAGCTGCTGAGGGCAAATGTCTTCAACTCAGTGCTTACCAGCAGTCACCCCAGTTACCCTAAGCCCCAGAATCTCTATAAACCCTTAAAGCACTAAACACCTTCAGCCCCTGCTCACCCTGCTCACCCTGAGCTTTGTTTTGGACATGGCATTCCGGAGTCTTGTGGCTCAACAGTTTCTCAATCCTTAATCGCCTTAATCATTGCTGTACCGCGAGCACCCTCATGGTGCGCCTCGGACCGACTTTGTTATAATAATAATAATAGTAATAATAATAATAAATAACAATAATAACAATAACAATAACAATAATAATAGTAACAATTTATAGTTTCAGGGTTCAGGGTTGACTTGACTGCTAACACCCGAACCGAAACCTAGATTTTTCGGGCTCCTCATTAGGATTTCCTTATACATATATGATATTCTCAAAGTACCCCTGGAGCTCAATTTCAACCCTGCGCATGTATGACAAGACACGCAACGCGTTTAGGGTGTAGGGTTTCGGGCTCATCGTAGGTTAGGCGGGCTGGTTTTAGGGTTTGTTCAGGCTCAAAACTCACGATACAGGGTGCTTAGATGCTGGACCGTCTTGGGCTTTACTACTGGTACCTTAAACCCTGTTGTAAAAAAAGAGCAAGCCATCCCCGAAATCTAACCACTGGCCCCAAAAACCCGAACCCTAAACCCTAAAGCACTGGTACCTTAAATTCGATGTCTCTAAGCCCTAAACCCTGAGCCGAGGCTTCTCAGCTTGGGATGGCTCTTGATCACGGTCTGCTCGACAGCCCTGGCTAGCGAGAGCGACGCTTCCTGCCTAGCCGGCTCTGCCTCGTGGATTGGATTTTTATGGGGGGGTACAGGTACTAACGAGGGTCTTTAGGGTTAGGGTTTGGGTTTTTGTTACAACAGCCCTAGTTGGGTTACAAGTGCAAACCGGGGTTTCCGGAAGAGTAGGTTTATGGTTTTGTGCCACTATGTTTTTGTGTGGGTTCTGTTGTAGGTCGATGACAGTCTGCAGTGTTTATGGGTGGACAAGTTGGACAAGTCTCGTACCTTAGCTCTAGACGACCAGAAGTATAGTGAGAACTCTCAACCGCAGAGTTCCTAAAACAGCCCGAAGTCTAATGCCCTCCTACACTCCGGGGCACATCGGACGGCGGCAGGTTGGGATGGATTTAATTTGAGGAAGGGTTTAGGATGCTCCGGGTCTGGGGTTCGGGATTGAAGGTTTAGGCAGTTTGGGGGGCCTGAGGTTTAGATATCTACCCGGCATATTCAGTAGAGTAGCCCTCCTTCGGTTTCTTGAAACTTGTTGTGCTACTCTAAGGCCGAACGCCCGTTAAGCATCATCTACGACGGGACCCGTAAGTTCTCTCCAACTCTCTCTGGTTCTTGATGCAGGCTTTCCTTGTAGTCTTTTTGTTATTGTACCATCAAGCATCATCGACTGCAGGCCCCCCCCCGTTCTCGACCCAGGCAACTTGCAGCACCACTGTGTTGATCCAGAAGTCGTCGCAAGTCTCTGCGCAGCTGCTCGGACTTCTGGGCAAATTGCTCGGGGTTTGCAGCCTACAAGGTTATATAACAAATCCATAATGATACTGTTCTTAGTCCTTAGGGCTCCCGTGAAGTGAAATATTGGTACATTCTTTAATGTGCATATTGCCCCAAGCCCTCTGCTACGTATGAACACCCTGACCTGTCGAACCCTCAACCCCGAAACAAATGCCCGGCCGGGCTAGGCTCCAGCCCTTTTCTTTTCATTGACTTGCTAACCCAGAAAACCTTAAACCCTGAGCCCTAAACCCTAAATCCTAAACCCTCGAACCCTTCAGCCGCAACGCGAATCTCTGAGTGAAATGACGCAGGGTCGAGTCCAGGCTTTAGGTCGTTCAGGGTGTGTGAAATTTTTGGATCTTTTTGGGGGGGCGAAAAAGGATGTGTCGGGTTTTAGGGTTCGGTGTGATTAAGGACTTTTGGGGTTTAGGGACTTCCGTGTTTCCATGGAGATCAGGTTCAAGTCCGACCTGCAAACTCCGCAGAGCGGTCTGGTATAGGGTTTAGGTTTAGGGCTCAGGATCTAGGGTTTAGGGTTCAGGATTTAGGGTTTATAAGGCTTGGGGGCTGTAGGGAGATAATGCCCCAAGGAAGTCCAAGAACTGGCCCCCCTAAGGCGCTGCAGACCTCACATCTCAGACCCGAGGCCCTCGAAGGCCAAACCTCTGAGCAAAGTCAAGAGCCATTTTGGGTCTAGGGTGTATAGGGTGTATAGGGTGTACAGGGTGTATAGGGTGTACAGGGTGTATAG